GACTGCTGTCAAAGACAGGATACCTGCTGTCAAAGACACCCAAGGATACCCAAGGTCTAGACCACAGGACAGAAAAAAAAGCCTTTCACACATATAAAACTGCCCTTGATGGCATGGAAAGATGCTTAGGACCAGAAGATGGAGAGGAAATGAACCATCAACTATAAAAGAGTACAGGGGCACCAGCTATTAGTCTACTACAAAAACAACTACTCTGTTAATTACAGAAACGCAAGCATGGTGACAGAAGTGATGAGTAATGAAATACTTTATAAGCAGGGAAGAGTGAAAAGTTATTAAATAGGGGTGCTCAATTTAAAACCAAGTAACTGACCCGCTCAACGTATTTTCAATACGACTTAGATTAAAACCCTCAAACATAAGAACGCCAGTAACAGTAAAACATTAGTGGGCAAAGATAGAAGTGAAACTGCTCTGACATGCACACAGGTTGCTTTGCTACAGCCCTGCCAACAAAAGGCAGGACTACAACTAACTATTAATCTAGCAAGCAGTTAGAAGCAATCCAATGCCAAGTAACTCCTGTCTTCTGCTTTACTTAATATACATGGACTAAGAAAGAACTAAATTCTCCTCAGGTTAAAAAGCCTGAAATTCTGTGGGTGGCTGGCTTTAATGCTAGTCTAAAAACAGGACATGTAACAATGTCAACTCCACCTATTCAAAAAAAAGATAAGGAGGAAAACACAGCTACTGTACAAATAAAGGCCTTTTAAAAAAAGGAAAAGAAGTTGAAGAACTAGCTGGACCCATGCGAGAACCAGGGAGAAATAGTTTACACATTTACAACTTCATTTTATAATGAAAATAAGAGTTAGCAACACACCATCCGTACCCAACCGAACTATAGGAAGCAGCGCAAGTCAATACCGCCTTTAACTGTAATTCTACCTCATCTACAAAGTTTTCAGGCACCAGATCATCCCCTGAACTGATGCCCTGAGGAGAAAGAAGGATTTTTTAAGAATAAATGACCCAATACACAGACGGATCAAGCAACTGAACTCACAACACCAGATGAGGCAAGCGCCGCTTGGCTTCCCTTTCCAAAGAGGATGTAAGAAAGATTTCCAGAAACATTCAGAAAGGGAAGGCTCCTCAACACTCAACTGAGCCAACGTGACACCTCCACGACATCCAACACATGCCAAGGTCAAAAGCGGCAAGTTTAAATTTACCGACCGAGACTCCCTCGGCCCACAGGAAAGGCGACAAGAACTCTGGAGGTGAGGGCAACAAACCGACATAAATAACGCGACGAGGAAAGCGTGCGGGTGCACAGCCGCCACGTCCC